TCTGTAGAGGAGAGCCCCTGAGCCCTCACATTTGGGGGACTGGATGGCTATCAGAACATCTGCACATTCAGGTTCTCGGTGTGAGGGCACAAGGAATCCAATGGTCCTTTAAAAATATATTGCTGAAACTCGTCACGCCTTGCTTCTTGAATCATAGCACGACTGCTTTGTAATCAAGTTACATCAGCCTGTTTTATATGTAAGGCCTACGAGCCCAGCAGATTTGGAAGGTGTTCTGCTGAGCAAAGGAGAGTGAATGGTTGCAAAGGGGCATTTGTGTGGGTTGGAAAGCAGGGGCTCATCCAGGAGAGCCCAACAAAACTAGGTGTAAAAATAACCCGCCTCATGGGGCTGTGGATTATATTAGGGTTGACCAGATGTCTTGTGTGCCTGGGACACTCCTGCTCGATGTCTGTTGTCCCAGAGGCATTATTAATAATCCCCTTTTCACTCTCGGAAGGATCTGGGTTTGGCCGATAAATCACATGGTCACCCTAATTGCGTGTCACCTTGTATGTGCACTTAGTAGAGACATGGTGTGGATGATATATTTGAATAAAAGCCCAGTACCTGTGTGCTTTGACAGCTCCAAAGCTGGCTGTGGGTGAGCACCCCTGGACGGCTGTGACTAAGGCATGTCACTGTCTTGTAGCACCTGTGGCTTCGAGGTGAATTCATGGGCCAAAATGTCAAAGAGATAGCGGTTGAGATCCTTTCTCATAACTTGCTGGCTTTTTGACCTTGAGGAAACTACTTAGCTTATCTCAACTATAAATTGAGAATAATCATACAGACTCAACAGTTGGTGTCATTATGAAATAACCTATTTCAACAAGTGCTTATTTCTTGACACATAATAAGCTACCAACATATGGCATTGCCATTATTATTATTGGTATTGTTATTATTTCATGACCGTTATTATTTTGGCTTTAGTTTCTCTGTCTGTGACATGGTGAGGGATAATCCCTGTCCTGCCCTGCTCCCGGGTCTTTATGAGACGGAAAGCAAGTAGCATCCCCAGAACCTAGTGTCCCTGGGAGTGTGCACACTGTTCGAGGTGAGGATTTCTGGCAGAGTCTCACTCGCACTCCGGCCCGGTGGATCCATCCCTCGGTGACGTGGAAGATGGGTTCCCAAAATATCATCATCCTTCCACCCGCCCTGATGACTCTCCCCTTGCTGGCCCTCCTCGGCCTAGCCCACTTCCTCCTCCTGTGAACAGCGCTGTATAAACACCAAGGCCAGAATGTCATTTATTGGTGCTGGCTGACTTGGCGGGGGGGGGGGGGTGAACCAAAAGTGGGCAGTGTCCAGATTCCTGGGTGCGCCTGAAAGGCACCTCTCAATGTTCTCTACCTGGGGAGTTTCCTCCATTCCTGTGCCTCTTGAATGAAGGTGTCCTCTGTTCCCAGGATCCTTGTTTTATTCCCTGGCTCTTTCCACTAATTTGCCTTTCTGCATGCCTCGCCCTTTCTCTCTCTCTCTCTCTCTCTCTCTCTCTCTCTCTCTCTCTCTCTCTCTCTTTCTTTCTCTCTCTCTCTCCCTTTCTCCCTTCCTCTCTTCCTCTCTTTCTCTGCATCTTTCTCTCTTTCTTTCTTTCCTCTGAAAGCAAGGATTACCTAGTGGTTGAGAGCAGGAACTCCACCTAGACTGCCAGAATTGAAACCTTGGCTCTACCTACTGCTCAAAAGCTGAGTCCCTTGGAGGAGCACGTCAGTGTCCTTATTTGTAAAAAGGGGCAAGAGTGATGTGTCCCTTGTGTGGTTGCTGGGAGGTGTCAGGGGTCACTAAGCTTAAGAACGCCTGATGCCCAGTAGGCACCTGCTGAATGGGAGCTATTTTTATTATGTAAAATCCTGCCTGCTCCTATTTCTTTGGCTCAGCTGGTGCTCTTGGTGCTGTGGGAAGGAGGCTGCAGGGAGGTCTCCTGATCCGAGGCTAGGCTCTGCTGCTGGTTAGCTGGGACTCTAGGCAGCACGCTCCCTCTGGGGGCTTTTGAGCCCTTACCTGCTCAGCCTGGACAGTGGAAATGGGTCCCACCCATGCTTGGCCTTCTCACCATGGTCTGCCTTCTCTTTGGCTTGCCCCTGCCCTTTCACTTCCGCTGTTCAAAAGTGGAGGACACACAACTGTTCTGAGGTCTCAGCGCCCCCACTGAATGGGGCAGGGACACAGGATGTGGAGAAAATGTCACAGGTTATAGATTGGAGGTCAGGAGGTGCCTGCCGTAGTCCTGGTTCTGTGCTGTGACCCTGGATAAGTCATTTCATGTCTCTGGATTTCAGCTTCCCCAGTTTCAAAATGGGGGCAATTACCCCTCTAAAAATGACCCAGAATGAGGTAGTGAAAAATGTTCTGCTGGCTGCCGGGTGCTACAGAAACAAGGGCTCCTGATGGTCTCAGATGGAGCTGAGGGATGTGGCCACAGCTCTGGCCACAGTCCACGCTGCTGGCGACAGAAGCCCCTCAGAGTTGGGGCTGTGTGAGGTTGTGCTGCTTGTGGGGACCTGAGACGGGAGTTGTAAGTGTCCTTCTCTGCCTTCTCTGTTCTCTTTGAGGGACATCTGGCCCATGGGTGACTCAAACAGGAAACTACCAGCCATCACTTCAAAAAGCTTGGACTTCTCTCAGAGATAGGCTTACTTTGTGTTGCTCTGGGTCTGTTTGGATGGTGGGGGAGTAATTTACAGAGTTGAGGGCAGATCCTCAGAGCGAGCCCCTCCCTGGGAGGGCCTCTGTGACCAAATCAGTAGGATGGAAGGAGTTCAGGTGTGCTGGGGGCCGGACAGGGTCTTAAGTTACCCAAATGCTGGTCTGTGGACCAGAGCCAGGATGGTAATATCAAAACTTTCCAGAAGCTTTGAGCACTATTCCAGAATGGAATTGTACTTTCTGTTAGCTTCTCCAGATGCACAGTCAGTTTGGGAACTGCTAACGTGGGTGGGGCTGGTCTTGCCTGTCCGAAGGCTCCACGTTACCCACCCCTTCTTGGTCCGCATCAGGATGCTAGAAAGTGTTAACAGTATTAGCTCTGCAGTACGATTAGGTTATGATTAGGTTTATCTGTTTGTGTGGTTGTTAACTTAACCAGGTGACTGTGTCCTTCATGATGCACAGTGGGAGTTGGGGGACTTTTTAGGGGGCAACATGGGTAGAAGAAGGCTGGGCCTCAGTGGGAGAATCAAGTCCCTATCATATACACGGAAAATGGATTTTAATTTTGAGGGTGTTTGGGAGAGAAAGAGGTGGGGACGGGACCGTGCCCCCGAGACCTGATCACTTCAACTTCTCCTCTCTAGTTTCCAGGTCCTTCTGTGGCACAACCCGCAAGAGTTGAGAGATTCAGGCTCACCCCCGGATCCTTCTTCAGAAATTCATCTTCTTTACAGTCTACACCCAAGTGCACAGGAAACAGCCCCTGTGTCAGGGCTCCCTTTTCCTCAGGCTGTGCTCTGTGATGGGAATTTACAAACTCAACCCCAAATCCAGAGGAGACAAACCTCCTTCCCCCCTTACCTTCGAGACCCGGTTTCACAAAATGCAGGGCCAGCCTCACAAATGCCGGCTCGGGATTCACTTTCTCATCAGGCCAAGGACTTTTCAGAGTTGCTGTGTTTTCCATATCATTTCCTTCCTCCCCCCCCCCTTTCACTTCCTGTTTTTTCTTCCTCTTTCTCCACCCCCTAGCCCGGCTCTCCAGCCCTGTCGCTTGTTGTCTGAGAACAGGAACAAAGCGCAGAGCGTAGATAACCATGATTTCCTGATGGGCCCTCTCTCACTGCTGACAGCCAGGGCCAGGCTCAGGTTCTCTGGGGCACTGGAGCCTCTGCTGGGAGCCCAGCAGGAAGCCTGGCCTTTAGAGCCCTTTGTCTGAGAGAGAATCTAACAAGAGGAATCCCTCATGTCCTTGCAACCGTTCATAGCTTCCAAAGAACTTTCTCCCGCATTCAAGCGAAAACACTGGAAAAATAAGACAACTCGCTAGCGTTTGGGCCGAATAACTCAAGTCCAGTTTAGATGGACAAAACACTGATGAGGGAGTTTGATAGGTGTTTATTTCTGGTTCTGGACTTTATTCTCCTTATGACTCTACAGATCATTCTGGTTCTCTGAAACTCGGCTCCCTAGCCCTTTGGAAAAATGGAGTTATGGGTGCCTCGTAGGGAATTTTTGAGGACAGATCAGGAAAATGTATCTGTCAGATTCATATGGTAGGCCTGGCAGATCTTATTTGCTGAATAAATGTGAGATCCCCTCTTGGGTTTTGGTTTTCTGCACAGGGGAGTGGCTGTTCAAATCTATAGTAGCCAGAAAAAAAAAAATCACATAATAAATAATAGCCCTGGGAGGAGGGTCCATATCTGTTACTGTGTTTTCCTGAAACGTGGGGAGAGAGAGAGAGAGAGAGAGAGAGAGACAGAGAGGTGAGCGATCTACTGGCCAGGCACAAATCATTGAAAAACAAAGCCCACCCACCACTGTGCTCCTGGGGCCTGCTATTCCATAACAATATTTTTCTGATGGGAAATAGAGAAATCCCAACCACAGGCCTGAGGTGGACTGTTTTCACTTATTTAGCTCCCAGGGCAAAACCACAAAAACAGCAGAAATCTGGAAAAAGTCCCACCTCCCTTTTTGAAAAATCTATTAAAAAAAAAAAAAAAAGACTTCCCAACTAGGCTCAATGACCACTTGTTTGAGAAGTCAGCCTGACCATGAAGCTACTTTTTAAAAAATCCCAAAGCCCAGAGAGTCAGAGACATATTCAATTTGAATTCTGCAAGTGGCTGAATCCTTGAATGAGGCTGTTTGCTTCTGAGCCTCAGTTTCCCCAACTACAAAACGAAAACATTACACAAGTGGTGATTGCATCGGTTTCTTGTAGCCCTGGTCATCTGGAATTCTGGTATTCTCTCTGTTCTCCTTAACAAATGGATATTTCTAGAAGAGAACAGGAAATGGCCTCTCAAAGTAACATGACTTGTCTTCCCTTTTAGCAGATTATCATCACTCACTTGAGGACAGAGAAACAACAGGACTCTAGGGGGCCACAGCCCTGATTTGGGAGCCAGACTTGCCTCGGCCAGCGTGCTCAGCCATTTGGTCCCATCAGCCTGGACTGGTGAACCTCAATCACACAGGAGAGCTCCAGGTAAGAAACAACTGACTTTGGTTATAGCAGGCAGCACAGTGATAATCAGCATCGTTGGTGGAGAGAATGTGTGATATGCATGCTTCTAGAATACTTGCAAGTATGAAGGGTGGTCATTTTACCAGATTTGTCATCTTTGATTAGAAGTCATGCCTCCTCGAATGATGTAGTGTAAGTTGGCTAATTGAATTTACATTAAAAAAAAAAAAGAAGTCATGCCTCCTAATACCACATACACATAAAAGGGGGGAAAAAACAAAACAAAACAAAAAAACCACAAAAATACCAAGGATATAGTTTTGAAGTAGTTAAAGGTCCCTGGGTTCTACAACTGCATTCTGAGTGGGAGCTGTTGTTATCCTGGGTCTGGTGAATGCTGAGGTGTGGACGAGAGTAGCTTAGAACTACAGGCAGAGAAGAGCAGATTCAAGCTGTAGTCCTAGGTTACTGTTCCATGCAGAATTCATTTGAGATGAAGAATAATCCAGGTTCCATTCTGTCCATCCTGGTCATGCAGACTTATGTGAACAGGAGATGTCCTTTAGTAGCAAACCCGAGATGGAATTTGGGTCTCGTGCCAGAGGTCTGGCTTGTGTTGCACTCACTATAACGTTTTCTTGAGACATTTTCAGTTTGTGCAGTTATCATCCCAGGCCACCACGCTGCTCCGGCCGCGGGTTGCCAGGCCTTACCGCCAACACGTGGGTTCTTTGTTGTTCCTCCCTCCCTCCTCTGTCACTTCCTCCCAATCCGTTATGGACATTTTTCTTCTTATCTGCAAGGACTGGGCCACACCTCCCCGAACTTCTTCATTGAAGTTGGACCTGACATGAGCGGACACCCCTCCCAAATGACTAAAGATCTACTGAGGGGTTCAGCGCCCTGGGTGCTGGTGTTCTAGCACAGTTCCTTAAGCAGGCCCGGGGCACCCACTCTGACAAGATCAGGAGTCACGAAGGATATGCCTGTACCCTGAGATGGTCACGCACCTGTTCATCTTTCTCCGGTTGCTGGCGTTCCCTTCTGCTGTCCTCTGTCCTAAAGCTCTTCTTCTGCATCTAGATATCTTGAGTTCCCTTGAAAACTAAACGCAGAAGCATTTCATACAGCTGAGCATAACACAGAAGGTAAGACCAGGAGATTTCTCAGGTGGTTTCCAGTCCAAGTGCCCAGGATCGTTTTATCCTAAACTTGTTCCTAACACCACGCTCTCGTTCTTTGCTGGTGGGGGGTGGGGGTGGATAGGATTATCTTATCTTGTGCTCCCTTCCTTTCTTCGTCTCATGGTTCTTTTCCTAGGGTGGCCACCAGACCACAGCATAATCCAGAGGAAAGAGAAGAGCTTTTGGAATCAGACCTGATTTCAGATCTCAGTCCTGCTATTTCTTAGTTCCATGATTTTGCTGAAATCATTTTAAATTGCTGAGGTTCTGTTTCCCCACCAGTAAGATGGGGACAGTGCGCCCTATGTTGTACGCTTGTGATCAGGATCAAAGGAGATAATTTCTTCCTCAAAGAAATGTTAGCTCCTTCTCCTCTCCAGTCTTATTTAGAGCTACTTAAATATAGCTTTGATCCCCCCCATCAGGTTCTATTAGAACCTTGTGCCTTGTGTGTCTAGTAGCTTGAGGCACTCATTCATCCAGCCATCCCTTCATTCCACAGACGTACGTGGCAGGTGCCATTCTTGGTGTTAGGGATGCGGCACAGAACAAGACGAAGTTCCTGTGCTCATGGGGCTGGCGTTCTAGTGGGATCGTGGGGTCGTCAACAAGTAAACGTATGTACATTCTATCAGGCAGTGTGAAGTGTTATAGAAGAAAAATAAAGCAGGAAAACATAAAGCACGCCACGCCAGAGAGATGGGAAGTAGGGAAAGAAACAACAGGATCCAAGGAAAGGCCTCCCTGCCGAGGCGTTGTTGGGGTAGGACCCAGACGAAGTGAGGGAGTGAGGCTCAAAGGAGCAAAGACCTGCGGTGGGCATGTGCCTGGGCTTTAAGGACCTGCAAGCAGCCGGTAAGATTGGAGCAGAAGGAGCGAGGGGCAGGGGAAGGAGGGGAGGATAGAGAGAAGCAATCAGATCCTGTAGGGCCTCATACACCACTGTAGGGACTTGGACTTTTATGTTCTGGCTGGCCTTTCCAGAGATTCTTCTCCCTTTCCTCCTTCTTCCCCAGAGCACCTCCCCATCCCTGAAGCACCCCTAAATAGAAAAAGGGATGGGTGCTCTTGCCCAGCAGAGTATGAGCCACCCATTCCAAAACCCGTATTGGGCATTGGGTACCAAGACTCTGGAGATGAATGAACGAGACGTGGGCCTGTCTTAGGAGCCTGCGGTCCAGCACTAGTTCAGGCTGCTTGAGAAAGTCGCCCTGATAAATTAGGCCAAAGTGAGGAGTTGTTCCAAATTGGTCCTTGTGGAACCAGTTTGCTGGAGTGGCCGTTTTCCATTGGAACCTCCCACAGGTCACATCTACCCAATTTCTTGGAACGCACTCTCGTAGTGTGTTGCCAAGTTTTGCCTTCAGGGTAGAGAGGGCATCAGTTCATTCAGCAAACCTTTGCGTGCCTGTTCTGTGTCAGTGCCAGTGTAGACACTGGCTACACATGATGACTAGCTTCACTCCCTGCGCTCGAGGGATTGATGGTTTTCCTAGGGACCAGATGATACTGTCTGTGTTGTGGTAAGAGTGGGCGTGAGGGAACCCAAGGAGAGGCTCCTGACCCACGTGGAAGGGGCAGAATGGGGCAGCTCCTGGGCCGTGTAATCTCTACTCAGTCCAAGTAAATAGCAGGGAGGGTGGGCAATGTCAGGGAAGGGTGTTGGGAGGAAAGGGATAAGCCAGGGCTGCCCGTTACAGGCACCGTGCCTGTCAGTCACTGTGGCCGTGGAGTGTGAGGTGAGGCGAGTCTGAGGGGCCCAGTCAGAGGGGGAGGACGGAAGGTTCACCAGGGGCCTCGAATGCCCCCAGGGGTGTCGAGTCCACATGAGGACAGCCCAGAGCTGTGAGGCGTCTTTTTTTTTTTTTTTAAAGATTTTATTCATTTATTTGACAGAGAGAGACACAGCGAGAGAGGGAACACAAGCAGGGGGAGTGGGAGAGGGAGAAGCAGGCTTCCCGCGGAGCAGGGAGCCCGATGCGGGGCTCGATCCCAGGACCCCGGGATCATGACCCCAGCCGAAGGCAGACGCTTAACGACTGAGCCACCCAGGCGCCCCTGAAGAGTCTTTTTTAAGCAAAGATCGATGGCCTGAATAGATTGGAGTTATATGAAGCCAAGGGTCTAATTTTACTGACCCTAAATTTATTCTGATTTATCAAAAGTGGTTGGTTTTTATTTTTTTTAATTTTTTTTTAAGATTTTATTTATTTATTTGACAGAGAGATAGAGAGAGAGCACAAGTGGGCAGAGAAGCAGGCAGAGGGAGAGGGAGAAACAGGCTCTCTGCTGAGCAGGGAGCCCGACACGGGACTCGATCCCAGGACCCTGGGATCATGACCTGAGCCGAAGGCAGACGCTTAACGACTGAGCCACCCAGGTGCCCCCAAAGTGGTTGGTTTTTAAAGTGCTTGTTTTATACGTACTTCTTGTAGAATTGTAAGATCAGAGTCTCCTCAGAGGTAAAGTAGGTTCATACAGATGGACTGAAGGAGATAGTTGTCTGGTGCCAATGAACACGTAGCCCTTTCTGTTGCCCTCATGAATGGTAAATGTTGACTGTTCCGTGTGCAGCCTGGGTGCACAAATTGCTGGGATGTGGTTAGAACAGGAGCCTTGTTTCTCATTGGAGAGAGTGGCTGGCAAAAGCCTGTGTTGTTCTTGTAGGAATGGTGGAATTTAGGTCTTGATACATTTTCTTCTAGTCAGAAAGCAAATGGGTAATATCCATCTCTTAACCCTCTCCTAGTTGAAGAGGAGAAGAAGAATATTCTCTTGAGAAAGGACACATTCGCTGGCCAGGCAATACCGGAGTCCCTGCCATGGGCCAGATGCTGTGCTAGGCCTGGAAACCATCAGGACGGATCAAGCATGCTCACCCCTCCAAGGAGGTCATGCTTGTGGCAATGACGGGGAGACAACAGTCACAGACACAGATGGCGGCCAGGGGCCGCTTGCCCGAACCAAGTGCAAAAAGGGAGGAGTGCCTGGGTGACTCAGCCGGTTAAGCCTGTCTGACTCTTGATTTTGGCTCAGGTCGTGATCTCAGGGTCATGGGATCGAGTCCTGTGTCAGGCTCTGCACTCAGCAGGGAGTCTGCTTGAGATTCTCTCTCTCCCTTTGCCCCTCCCCTGCTAAAATAAATAAATAAATAAATCTTTGTTTTAAAAAGTGCAGAAAGGGAGCATGTTCTCTGCCCAGGGAAGTCAGGGAAGGCTTCCAGGAGGGGGCCAAGTGAGCTGGGCATTGAAGGGTGAATAGGAGTTGGGAGCTGGGCAAGAGACAACCCTAGTACAGAATGGCACTCTATAAATACGGGCCAACATTGGTATGTCTGTGGTGGTGGTGTTGGTGATGGAGAGGAAATAGCCAGAGTGATCATCACGCACAGAGAGTGCCTCAACTCTGCTTTTCAGAGCCCATTAGTAGCTGCCTCCTCAGCCTCCCACCTTGTTCCCAACAGTGACTAAAAATAATCAGATTGACTAATTTGAGTTGGTCTCTCCTCTGACCCCATGGAGGTGTCAGTGAGCGACTAGGATGAGAGGGACCACGGAAAGAGGTGGAAAGAGGAGGAGGAGGAATCCATCCCCATCATCCAGAAACATGGATGTAATGATGTCGCCTGCACCGGGGCTCTCTGGTAGCAAAATTCAACTTTCCAGAAAACTAGGTCTGCTGCTTCCCTGTGAAAACTGCAAGAGAGGTTGAGAACTGTGTCTGTCCCTCTACCTTACTCTTGGGCGGAGGGGGGAGGGGCAGTGGTGAGATATATGTATAAATTTATGTGCGTGTGTGTGTATATACCCAGACACGTGTACATATGTGTATCCTCTG